GGAGATTTAGCTCAGTGGTTCCGCCACCTGCTTTGAAAGCACAAGGTCCTGAGTTCGATCCCCGGTACCAAAAAAAAAAAAAACTAGAAGAAGGTCGGGGATTAAGCTCAGTGGTTCTGCAGCCTGCCTTGCAAGCGCAAGGTCCTGAGTTCGATCCCCGGTACCCCCCCAAAAAAGAAAAAAAGAAACAAAACCTCATCACCAGAGAGGCTGCTGAATAAATGAAATGTTGATGCCATGCTTGCTGCACATGTAGTGTTGCTTTCAGCCTTTCACTTCTTAGTGCCACCCGGAAAAGTAGGTAGAGTTACCAACATATGACAAATGAGGAAACTGAGGCTCAGAAACAGTAGCTAAACGTTCAAGTCCCACTGCTGGTGTGTGGAAGAGCTGCTCCTAAACCACATGGTCTGGAGCCAGAACCCAGGGCCACTGAAGGCTGCTGTTCTCACTATCTCACCACCCAGCCTTGAGAGCCACCCTCTCATTAGATTCCATGGAGGAGTCAGACGCAGCCTTAAGCATCGCACTAAGGAGCATGAAACTACCAAAGGTGATAGATGCCTCTGAGAGCCTCAGGTCCCTTCACACATGCAACAGTCAAGAGCTCAACACTTCACTTAAAGGTAAAGAAGGTTTGGACTGTACTCCAGAACACTAGGGTGCCATGAACAATTTAAACAGGAGAATGAAGATTTTTTTTTTTTTGCAGTACTGAGGACTGAATCCAAGGCCTTTGTACTACATCTGAACTATGTCCCAGTCCTTTTTGATTTCTTTTTTTTTGGTACTGGGGATTGAACTTGGGACCTTGTGCTTCCGAAGCAGGCAGTGGCCCCACTGAGCTAAATCCCAGGCCCTGGCCCTTTTTGATTTGGAGACAGGGTCTCATTAAGTTGCTAATTTGCTCAGGCTGGGCTCAAACTTGCCATCGTCTTGCCTCAGCCTCCCAGAGTACTGGTGTCATCCCAGCGGAGGGGATTCCATTTTTAACAAGTTTCTCTGGCCACTAAGTAGAGATTGGCCATAGAGTTAGTGGTTCCCAACTATGGGTGATCCTGTGCCCCAGGGGACATTGGGAAATGTCTGGGGACATTGCATTGTCAAGACTGGGGGTGATTCCAGGTGAGGAGTAAGTGGAGGCTAGGGATACTTCTTAGTACTCTGCAGTGCCCAGGATGCCCCACCTCAGTGAACCTATCTGGCCCCAGTGCCCACAGTGCCAATGTAAGGGAAGTAAGAAATCAGTGAGGAGCTGGGGCAGCCCCTGGCGGGAGGAGCTACAGAAACAGGTCAGCTCTCTTTCTAGTTACATTTGATCCCCTCTCTTTGCCTCAGTTTCCCCACCTGAAACACAGGCAGACCAGTTCCTATCTCCTAGCGTTTATAGGAGGATGGCACAAAGTGGTCCCTGTTAAAAAACATCAGCACCTCTGCACCGTCTCCCCCTCACTGCTGCCCTTATTTGTTTTATTTGTATCTTTTTTTTGGTATCGGGGATCGAACTCGGGACCTTGCGCTTTCGAGGCAGGCGCCAGAACCACTGAGCTAAATCCCCAGCCCATTTTATTTCTATCTTTAAGAGAGTGCCTCACCTTCGCGCCCCCCCTGGAACTTCACCCGGATTGTCTTGTCAATATACTTGGACAGATCCAAGATGCTCTCCTTCTTCTTCTTCTCTTTGTCCTGCGGGAAAGCAGAATAAAAGAAATGGGGACCGTGGCCCAGTCTCTGGCTCCCTATTCTCCTGCCACCAGGTCTCACGGATTGGGAGCTCCATGGCTCCCATGTCCTCCGTGTCTGCAGCCCATCTCCTTGGTCTGCTGCCCACTCTCTCTCCCTGGTACATCGCCCCGGTCCCCATAGTCTGCAGTCCCTCGGCCCCACGTCCTCCTGCACCCTCTATCTGCAGCACCCTATTTTCCCGATCTATAGGGCCCCTTCTCCCTGGTCTGCAGCTTCCTGGCCCCTAGATACGTCCCTGCTCTGTAGCCCTATGTCTTCAAGTCCTTCCTCCCCGCGGTCTGCAGTCCCAGGCTCATATGTCCCTCTGGCCCACAGTCACCAGGCTCCCACATCCCCCTGGGGTCCCCAGCCCCTCTGCTCTCCCATTCCCGCTTCCAGGCGCGCGCTCACCGCCATCGTGCCGCCAACGCCTCTCTGCGCAGGCGCCACGCCGCGCCCTTTGACCCGGGCCCCACACGCTTGCGCAGCGCTTGCGCGACGCGGTGCCCCGGAGCGTTGCTGGGAAACCTCAGCTGTTGGCTGCGGCGGCGGGACTGGCCGGAATGGCGGCGTCGGCTCTGGTGCGGCTTGGAGCGGTGTTTCTACTCTTCGCGGCCCAGGTGAGGGCCACGTTGGCCCCGAACGCCCCGCAGCTGTGGCTGCCGGTCACCCCGGTCCCTGGGTACGCGTGGGACCCCGCCCGGCCCGTCGTGGGGACCAGCCTCTGGGATCCGCGCCCCCCAGGCGCGGCGAGACCCTAGCTGTGACCTTGCGGGCCTGTCCCTGGTTCCTTTCCCTCCCCTTTCCGTCGCCAGAACCCTTCCTTCGCCCTGTTTGTAGGTCTCAGGGTTCCCAGCCTCCGCCACAGACCCCCTCCTGTGCTCTGTGGCCTTGGGCGGGTAGCTGTTCCCCCCCACCCCGCGCCTCAATTTCCCCTTATGCGGAATGGGCACAATGCAAACTAGGTCTCCACCCCAGTGCTTGCAAGAAGCGCCCCAGGGTGTGTCTGCCGTGTTCCCCCAAACCTGGCAGCCTTGAGGAGCAGCCAAGAACCCAACCCTGAAATGGGGTCGAACCCCTGCGCCCTATCTTTTACGCCGTGACCTTGGACAAGAGGGATCCCCACTTTGAGCGACAATTGCTCCTCTGCAAAAGGGGGCATAAGCGCCTAGTAGTTTTTGGGTCCTGGAGGGGATGTGGGGACCAGGGGTCATTTAGTGAGAAGGGTATCAGGGCCTTACCCTGACCTGCAGCAGGGGTGGCAGATGCACACCGTGTTTAAGTATGTAGTGGGGTTCCAGATCTGGGTTCTGGCGCTCAGGGAGTGAGGCTCCTCGAAGTCTACAAATGCAGCCCTTAACCTTGACCCTTCTTTACAGTTCTGATTTGGGATGGAACCCAGAGTCTTTGAACTAAACTATGTCCCCAGCCCTTTTTAAAATTGTTGAGACAGGCCGTCACTGAGTTGCCCAGGCTGGGATCGAAATTTCGATCCTCCTGCCTTAGCCTCCCAGAGTGCTAGGATGACAGGTGTGTGTACAGTTTAACTCTTAAGATATCTCTCCCGAACCAGACTGCTTCTCACCTCCACTGTGCAGCCCATCAACATCTCTCTGATGTAGGTCCCAGCAGCTGCTTTGTCTCCCTGTGCCTGCTTTTGTTCCCTACACCATCAAGTCATTCTTGACCAGGCAGAAATGATGTTTTTCAAAGCTTGTCAGGTCTTATCACATACAGCTGCAGGCCGTCCAGCAGTTTCCTGTCTTATTCATGAGGCCTCTGGCTGCTTAGGAAGTTGCCCCCTGGATAGTGAGGTTCACTGAAGGCCCCTTGCTCTCCAGTCCTTTTTGTCACCCTGGAATGTCCCTGGTCTCTCTCCAGTCTTGGGTGTTCTGTTACCCTCAGAGGCTGTCTGGAAACCCCTCATCTCCCCAGCTGCTTCTCTAGTCCCCTGGCCTTCTTCCCCTGTGCTGGCCTACATTTCCTCTACCAGTCTGCTCCAGCCAGGGGAGGGACTTTTCATTCGCTAGATAATGTGACTAAAGCGGAAGTGAGAGATGGCTGTAGGATCATAGGGACACCACAGAGACTGGGAGTCAATTTCCCTGAGAAGGTTTTTTTACTTTTATTTTGGTACCAGTGGTTGAACTCGAGACCTTGCGCTTTCAAGGCAGGCGGTGGAACCATTGAGCTAAATCCCCGGCACTCCCTGGGAAGGTTTTAAAAGCAGTAACATGGGTGTTCTGAAATGAATAGGAGTTTGCCTGGTGGGCATGAGAGAGAAAGGGTATTGTGGGCAGCAGGAGCAGGGTTGGGAGGTGTGAGCTGGTGATTTATTTTGGGACAGTGGGGAATTGGCTAGGGCTGGTGTGGAGAGTGGTTTAATGCTTGCAGAGAGAGCTAACCCCTGCTCCCCGGCCAAAGATGTCCCTGCAGAGGAGGCCCTCATGCTGACCTAGGAGGGAGGCCAGGGCTTCTCCCTCAGCCAGAGGGCAAGGCAGGGGGCCCAGGGAGCAGCTCTGGGCAGGGGGAAAGGGCGGGGCAGGGCTGTGGCCTGGGCTGGACCTGTCAGCCAGGTGGCAAAAGGCTCTGGGTGCTGGGCTCTTTGAACTTTGTCCTGGGCAGCAGAGTTTAAGTTTTATCCAGAGGGTGGAACAAGGAAGTGCCTTCCAAGTCCTCCTGGTCTTCCTGGAATCTGTTGTAAAGTGGGGGTGGGGGAGGGGTCTGGAGAGGGGTAGGTGCCCAAGAATGGGACCAGCTATCCTCTAGGCGGGGCCGCTGCTTGGTGGCAGTCCTAGATGCACTCAGATGTGGGGACCCTGGGCAGGAGATCTGGTTTCTGCAGCTGTATGCACCTCCCCCTGTTCCTGGGCAGGCAGCCTGGTCCTTTGCTGGAACTGGAGACCCCTTGGAGGGAGACTGCTCCTCGTGACAATTTGGAGACCCCACCGACAGAGTTGCACACTGTTGTGCTTGTGAGGCTCAGTTCCCCACAAGTGTCCCATCTGCTTTGTGATTGTGAAGCCCCAGAGGTGGCTGTGTCAGGCACTCACACTGGGTGGTCCTCCCCTCCTGGGCTCCTGGTCCTGAGTCGGGCACCTCTTGAGTCAGGTCCTCTGAAGACCTCCTCCCCGTTTCTTAGCACAGCAGGGACGGAACTCATCAAAGGGAGCAGGCGCTTTCCTGGTGGCTGCCAAAAGCTTGGGCTTATTTTTTTTTTTAATGGAAAACCAGTTTTGCAGATTATGGGGGTGGGATATCTGTGAATGTGCTTTTGTGCCTTTAAATGATCTTTTAAAAGAGAAATGGTTCTGTCTATTTCTGTTTCACACAAAAGGCATTTCAGTGACAGCCCCAATCGTGGGACAGGGCTGGGCTGTGTCTTCGGAAGGCCAGACTGCTAGTAGTCTTGGCTCTGGGCCCTGTGGTCTTTGCTGCCACCATTCCCCTCTGTCGGTGAGTGGAAGACCATGGACCTTCAGCACAGAAGTAGAGGTGATCATGTTCCAATAAAACTTTATTAACAGACACGGGAGGTGGGTAGGGTCCTGCACCTTGGTGCCAAGTCCTGGACCTCGGGTGCACCCATCTGAAGGACCCACGGGTGTCTAGCACCAGCGGCCACACGGAGGGATGCCCTTAGTCAGGCAAGGCAATGGGGGCACCTGAAGGAGGGGAAGGACGTGGCATTGGGAGAGGTGCTTGGGCTGGGACTGAACCAGGAGGTAGGAGAAGAAACTGTTAGCCAGTTGCTCTAGCCCTGCCTGGGGCTCAGGCTGTGGTCCTGAGTGCTGGTGACAGTGGCCCCCTTCATCTGTTCCAGGCTGGTGCCCAGGACACAGCCAGCAGCCGCAGAAGGCTCACAGGGTCGTTATCTCAGGGAACATGGGGGCCTTAGAACAGCAGCTGGAGGTGCTCAGCATGCAGCCCGTGTCAGCTGTGGGCTGTGGAGACCAGGGAGCCATGGGGCCTTGGGGGCATGGGCTTTCACATGCTGCCCCCTCCAGGTGGTTAGGGCCTCAGACAAGATGCTTTTAGCCTGGATGGGTACTCTGGGCCAGGTCAGAGCCCCCATTTCACTGCCCCAGCCTGGGATAGCCACCTGTGGAACAGGGGACTTGGTGTGACATCATGGACCCTGCAGTGCTGGTCTCGTCAGCAAGGCACAGGTTGGCGCCTGTCCATGCATCATCAGGCCAATGGCACTGCCTGCTTGTTTGTGTGGAGGTCCTCAGGGAACACCAGGAGTGTCCTGAGGAGCGCACAGCCCTGTGGGAGGAGTGAACAAGAGGGGGCCCAGGGTGCAGATAGGCCCTCTACCCCAAGAAGGCCAAGGGGCTGCCGAGGCGTGTGGGACCCTTGGCCTCTGCAGTTGGGACTGGCCAGGCTCCCTGGGCCTATGTGAGGCAGAGAGTGTCCTTGTCAGGGTGGCGGCACAGGCAGACCCAGCTCGGCCTGAGCTGGTGGGAGCCTGGCCAGGCCCAGGCAGGAGGCAGGAGGCAGACGAGCAGGTGGCCGTGCTGTGTGAGGTAGTGTTCTCACATCGGCAGGAGAGGAGTTTGTGGTCCCAGGCTGGGGTCTCCCTGTCTTGGGGTCCTGCTTCTGTCCTGGTGTGAACACTTACCCTTGCTGTGCCAAGGTCCCACACAGCACCCCTCCATTTCCCAGGTTCTTGCTCGGATCTAGGCCAGCTGTCCCTGGACAGTACCCGGTAGGGATGTGGGAGGGAGTGGAAGCCGGGCAGCCCTGGGGACCTTGCTGTGGCTAGGTGGTTCTGTCCCTGGTTGCTGGGAGGCCTCAGGCCCCCCTGGAGCATGGGTACAGCTCCAGCCACCCCAGTGTGCCTGCTGCCCTTGGGCCCTTTGGTCTGTCCACTTCATGCTCTGCTTCCTTGGGAGCTGATGGGGTGCTGGACAGGGACCCCTCTGATTTGTGCCTCTTGGGCCGGTCATATGACCATCTGTAAACCTACCCATGGTCAGACCCGCCGGGGTGTGGGAACCTCATCTGGCCCTCCTACTTCACCCAGCACAGTGACTGCCAGGGCCAGGGCCAGAACTTCAGACACCCTTCTCCCCTGCAAAAGTCCTCTTCCTAGGTGCTGGGTTTCCTCCTGTTCCTGCTGACCCAGGACACAGCCATGGTCCCAGACCTAATCTCCCTGGGAAGGCGGGCTTGTCCCTGGCACCCTCCTCCCTGGTGTTCTCAACCGTAAGATGTGTCGAAGAGAGGACCACAACCCCAGCCACCTTGTGAACATAGATGTTTCCCCTAAGGTGTCCTGTGCCCTGTGGAGTCCATCTGACTGCCCTGTCCCTGCTGCAGGTGGCCTGTGAGTATGGCATGGTGCACGTGGTGTCTGAGATTGCCGTCCCCAGAGGCAAGGACTACTGTATCCTGTACAACCCACAGTGGGCCCACCTGCCGCATGACCTGGGCAAGGCGGTGAGTCCCCACGCGCCCTGGCCTGCGAGAGGGCTGGGGTCACGTGAGGCCCCCAT